CTCCCGAGACGATCTAACTACCGATGGTTCATCAACCCGGTTATAGTTTCGGGTTCTTGGCTTGTCACCATTTCACTTTAGTGAAAATGGTATCACCATGAGAAGGTAGTAAGTAGCAAACACACCCTCTACCCAGATACTTTAGCAGAAGCACTCTGGGACATTTCTCGAGGTGAGAAACGAGGGTTTTTGGGTGAAGTAAATCTCACGGTAGAAAAGGAAACATTGTGTCGATACCACACGCGGATCAGATTAGAATAGGACGCTCGAGTAGAGTATACTACCAACAAAAATACCTCGAAAACTGACAAGCATAAGACGGCAATAATTGGAATGAAAGAATAAAATCCTATCCAGCAACAAAATTTTTCAAATAACAGCGCTGAAACCACTGACCAGAGCGTCTTCGGAACACCAAGCAACAGCGGCCACATGACTGTCCGAGAGGATATGTTCCTCAAAGTACCAGTTTTGAGATGAAGATGCCAATGTCAAACAACGAGGAGGCTCATCAGTGGATTTGGGTAATAGAAATGCGATAGACGACAAGGGGAGACGAATACCGCAACCCAATGCCTTGAGGTAGGCTTCTTTCAGACACTGAAACCGATATTTGTGGAAACAGGTTTTATAAGGAAGTTGAATTTTTCGACTCAAACGACCAAATACACATTATGCTCATTAAACTCTGGTTCACAAAGACTCTGTTCGTGTTGCACTCCCTTTGAACTACTGCCATGATAGGATTCGTTTTTCTTACGACAGCAACGAGATTTGACAGAGTGAGAGTCTATTTTTACTGTCATTATCTGAGTCTAGTAATTCTGATTACTGATACCGTCCCCCCCCAACCCCACAGCAACGAGAATCGGAGAACGGGTGTATGTAGCAGATTGTGGATGAGAAAACAATAATACAATCATGTCAACAACGCCATTGTCCACAAAGTGCACAGTTATTTATATTAAATGAAACCCTCGGAGCCTTGGCGGAAAATTCAACCTGAGCAATGCGAATTGACCCATCCGTTGGAGGAGTCTGCTATCTGTTTGCCATGTAGAACAGATTGACCACTTTTAACCATCTCCCGGTCTTGGATAACCTATGTTGCCGTGAAAGTCTGGCAGTAGAGATACGGACACTATATGTGAACCAGGCAACAGGTCAAGATGGTAACCTACTACAACTAATTCTCTAACCGCAGGCTGTCTCGTAGCACACGACAGCCGAACAGAAACCTCGAAATTATAAGAAATTGCCGTATACTTTGCATGAAACGCAAACTTCATCATAGTTAACGAGCCAGTAATGGTATTGTGCTTGCGGAGAACAGTAAAGCTATTAACCATAGAATGGATGTGATAAAGTGGAATATGGAACAGTAAAGATCCAAGCGCCGATAAACCTAACTGATGGATTACCGAACGTCGCTTTTCCGTGGCACATTAAGAGAAAAATTAAATACTGCTGCTGTGCGTATGCCCAGTTGTTGTCTGTTTCAGTGAGCCTTACTCACAGTTGCGGCTCCATGTTGGAGGATACTACGTGCAGGTCAACAGACGACGAGGAAACGAGGCATGAAGAAATGCACAAATGTAGAGTAGGCGTCTCTGGTCTTCCAGGTTTGGGTCTGAGGGACTATTTAGCTGCCTTGTCGGAGACACTGAAAGATATGGCAACCAACTGACAGCAGTAGCGTTCTTGCATTGATTTTTTTATCAGATTAGATTGCTTGAAACGGTATGTATGCACATTTAGATTGTGTGCTCTTTTTGTTGACCATAGAGATTCACTTACATTGTCCTCCCCCCCCTCCAATCAGGCCTCAACCCTATCCATCTTGCACTTTATAACTAACTTTGTGCACATTGAGAGCTTGGCAGCCATTTATGAAGTTCAGTTCTGTGTATCTCGCTGTCCGATAATGATGATGCGCGGATGTTTGATTCTAGTAAGCGCTCGTTAGACATACATTTTTGTAAATAGTCCTTTCGAGGACTCTTGTCGGCGCCAACTCCATGAGTGTCATCAACACAGGGAACTATTGAACAATAAGCAATGAAATCAATAACCATCATGTTGGAAGTGAGGAGAACGTCATTCCTATCAAACTGCAATCAAGTTATGTTGGTTTGTGTTTGTTTGCACTGCTTAAAACCGCTTAAATGGACGAATATGACAAGGTAGGTGTACAAACAGACAAACCTTAGACGTGAAGAACGAAATACAGATAACCCCAGAGAACACTGACTCGGTTAAACGGAGCCAAGTGGAAATTGAGACCGAGGCAAGACGTACCCAGTGCCGATAGAAGTGATACATACGCTTTTTGTCATCCACAGGTGAAAGAATCGAGTCCAGCTCGTTCGGTGCAAACACTCTCCTCAGAGTGTGGACAAACGTGGTCACCGACTTTTGTGAGTCTGCAGAATAGATGATCGTATAGTATATCAGAAGAACTGATACGATACGCACACGAAGGACATATGTACAGGCTTACGGAATCATCAGGATGTTGAGTTAACATGTATTGTATTACGAAAACCAGTGTTACATGCTAACGATCAGATAGAATGACAAAAACGGTTGCGTCTGTTCTGGCCACATGAACTTATGCACCAAGGAAAACAAATGCACGTCTAAACAAGATACGTTCGTGTTGTTTCGGGGCCACGATTTCCAGATATGAATTGGTGAGAGGACGGACAGTCTGATATGATACGACCGATCGGAAGTAGAACTCAGTTTACGGCACTACGAGACACATAAGGAAGAGCATCGTGGTGAGATCAGACCGAGGACGTATATCATAATAACTGACACTACGTGAAAATTGGTAAAACTAAGCGAACAGAGTTACACAGCGTTATTAAAATGCTCGTTTATACAGTCATTCATACCTCTTTTTAACACGTAAACTCATTTACTATTGCACGGTGATGCTTGCTTTCATTGTCAACTCATATATCAGGTTTTGGTCTAAAAAAGACTATGCGAAGATAATTGTCAGGATGGGGGAAGCGGACAATCAAAGGATCGCCATTCAAAACACATTGGGGGAAGTTAGGCGGTGGTGGTGGTGGGACTTTATTTACTGCGACTGGCTCCTTGGAAAGGATAAGCTGGCTCCAGACATGCTCATGATCAAGATCATGGACTTCCTTGGGAGTTTAGTACGAGAGACGTCCCCGGCGTCACTCGACATTTTTTTTAATTTTGAGGGCGCACCTCTAGTCTTTGCACAATTAAGTGCGAACTGCAAGGCAGCGGGAAGGAATCCTTCGCATCGGAAGCGAAGGACTCAATGACTTTAGTTTTAAAATGCCAGTCACATCGACCTTTGTCACGACACCTTTATTGGACTTATGCAGCTTTTAAACAGGAGCCATGTAACCATCCTGAGACCCACCACATCCTGGTAGTGTCACCGCTGTTTGTTCGCGACTGCTTATTTGTTGCGGTATGCCACAACTTATTCACAGATAACCTTCTTCGGTGAAGGTATCCCCCTATCCACAACCCGGGGACGTGCCTGGTAGCACTCAGTTCTGCTTAACCCGAGGGTATCCAGGGGTGGTGGTGGGATTCGAACACATTCCCGGGATGCTAACTTGGTGACGTTACCGCCGAGCATACCCTTCAGGGAAAGGCAGCGCCGAAGTTTATAGCGTTCGACTGAGTCGAAAGCCGTTTTCAGACTGAGGATGGGTGGGTCCACGAAAAGAATGTCGCTGCTCCATAGTTTGGCGAAGATGTGGTCGATACAACCCGGACCAGGTTTACAATCAGCTTGGTTCTCACGCATGCACCGTTTACGTGCGGCAAACAATCGCCGGAGTATGATCCCAGCGAGAAGTTTATAGGAAATGTTGACTAAATTAATTTCTCTGTGGTTTTCAAAATAGGATCTAGTGCCCGGCTTGACCTGACCATTCGGAACGATATCCTCCCCCTTACGTACTCTGTAACGACCTTGGCAACTTGCCATTCCGTTTGAGTGCGAGTCGTATTCATGTCCCACTGAACGTTTTGATTCATGGTGTCTGTATTTTCCTCTCTCAGATTTTCAGTCAACCCTCTCTCAACGGGGAACTTCCTGTTTCTCTGCCTGTTGTATTCTCAGTCGTTAAAACGTGTTGGAGGAATAATTGATCCAAGTTAATGGACCTCCCTACCGCCTTGACCGCTGCCTTGCGCTTAGCTTCTTATCAGAACTTAAGGCTTTGGTTGGGAACCGTAATCGTTATCCTGCTTAGTGGGTGGAGTCCCTGGAAGTACCCGTTCAAACAGCTCCAATGGACAACATAAAGTGAAAACAAATCCATACTGCATCGGTCTTCGCGCAGGATAATCAGGACCGCGCTGCCCATAGCATCGAGCGGGGTGGATAGTGATAAGAGGACTACTGCTCAAACAACCCAACATTTGTTTAACTCTTTATCATTCGTACCCAACCCTCTCCCTTTATCCCTTCTCCCGACCTGCAAAATTCCCGCAGATGACTTGGTTGTCACTCGCTAAAGGTCGTTACCAAATAGCACTGCAAATAGTTTGCCTGTAGATAAAGTGCAGATTTTGAAGCCTCGTCGATCACTGAATGTGGGGGCCTTCAATGCGAGGACTCTTATGCAAGTGGATCGACAAGCGTGTCTTGCGCGTACAATAGTCTTTAGCAAATGATATCTGTTGAGCAGTGGAGACCAGAATTCAGGATCCTAGGATCATAAGCCATCTGAGTGCGCCAAGTCTGTCCTCGAGGTATTTCTTTCGTACAACCGGAGACGACGAAGCCCGCTCACTGGGTCAGCGTGGTGTAGGAATCGTACTAAACGAAAAAGCTGAAGCCTCTGTGGTAGATGGGATACCCGAAAATAGTCGTTTGTGAGCAATGGGTCCCCAGGGTTCAGTTCGTGTTCGGAAGGGCAGCAACACCAAATGGTGTTTGTTCATCATTTCCGCATATACACCAACCAAATGCAGTCCCACTTCCCGAAAGGATCAATTTTACAACAAACTCACCCTACTCATTCGGTTGAGCAGCAGCTCTGATATTATGGGGCTGGCAGGTGATCTTAACGCGCATCTGAAGTCCGTCCACCCAGCGAGCAGACAATGGTGATCGACCACTTCAGTTCCGTGTGGATCATCGGTTGTTCTCATCTATTTTTATGACACACTTAAGTGTGATGAACAACGGACGGGACGAACCCCATAGCCACGAGGACCTGCTGTTCAGTGGTGGAAACCGGCAACCTAGGCCCCGGCACTTGGAGTGGTGAACCACATAAGTCCCCGATAGGTTAGACGTGGTATTGAACCGGACGACAGCAGAGCTGCCTACCAGCATCATCTCCCTACCACCATCTAGCACCAACTTTCGACACAGCTCTCGTCGAACGGCTACATGGTGTTCTAGTTCAACGGGAGGGTTGACCCAAATTGACCACAGCTGTAAGCTACCGCTGGCGTGTTTCAGTACAAAATTGCAGATCCTATTGGACCACAAGCGCTGAGTCGGATCATGCAATAGTTCTATGACGCTTTAATCTTCGAATCATCCACCACTGGCAGAAATCGCCTCCTCAGTTAGCTCCCCATCGTCGGCACGCTTTATGAGAAGCTGGGACGGGAGCTAAGAGAACCGCAACATAGTGGAGTAGACCAACAGTGGGATCAAATTAGATTTGCGATGCACTCAGCAGCAAACTTTGCTTGTGAAACCGAGCTGAATTTCTCAATGGCCGGCAACTCTGATGGATCAAAGGCGAAAGACCCCAATCTGCCAGGATCAGCATCATCGGTGACGACTACAACGTGAACTCAGAAATAGCCTTGAGAAGGATCCTGAGAACAGGTAGGATTCCGACCAGGTTGCGCGTGCATCGACCGAATCTTTACTCTGCGTCAAGTCCTTGAGTTGCGTCACACCTGTCAAACAACAATCACAGTGTTCCTGGACCTAAAAGGAGTCTTCCATTCAGTTGACCGTGAAGCTCTTCTGAGGTCGTTGCTCCGCAAAGGAATGCCGCGGAAGTATGTAAACCTATTCCGGTCGTTGTACCTACATACTTCTGGTAGCTTGAGGAACTACAGTTAGCTAAGTAACTCGTAGGAAACTAGGGACGGTGTTCGTCAATGGTGCCCTATTTCGCCATTGATGTTCAATTTCGTCGTAGACGAAAAATTAGCGAACACATTAGTTGGTTTCCGAAATGTTGGTATTGAATAGGCAACTGGAGAAAACGTGTGCAACTTAGAATACGAGGATAACATCGTTTGTCTGTTCGAGTGTGTGGAGGATGCGTGAACCGCTCTTGACATACTTTCAATTTTTGTAACTCCATTCGGCATGCGCTTCGCGCCTTCAAAGTGCAAAGTAATGCTACAAGATTGGGTGTTGTCTACTCCGGTGCTGATGCTTGATGGTTAAGAAGTAGCTATGATGGAATGTTTCACCCACTTAGGTAGCTGAGTGACAAATGATGGTAGCATGGTCAATAAAGTAACCGCCCGCATTTCCAAGGCTCGAGCAACTTACGTGAGACTGACACACCTTTGGTACAGATGCGGTGTTTCGTTGAATCTGAAAGGTCGTGTATACTGCTCAATCGTCCCGTTAGTTCTGCTCTATGGTTGCGAGACCTCAAATTTGCGCGTGGAAGATATTGGTCGTCTACAAGATTTAGACTGCCAATGTTTACGTAGTTTGGCGCGAGCTGGATGGAACGAGCGTGTGAGCAACACGGAGGTAAGGCGTTGCGTGTTTGGTAATGATTCGATGGAGAATTCGTTGTCCCATTGAATTTAGATTAGTCGGTTCCAATGATTAGGATATGTATTGCGTGTATCCGACGGTCACCTACCGCACCGCGCCTTATTCGCAGTCGCCGCCCCACGGTGGAAGAATTCACGTTGAGGTCAATATCTATCGTGGAAACGAGGGTTGAAGAAATGCACAGAGCGATTAGGTAGAATCGGCGTTTCCCGTCTTCCAGGTTGGGGTCAAAATGACTCTGTAACTTGTTATTTGGAAACACTGAAGGATATGGCAGCGAACCGACAGCAGTGGCGTTCTTGTTGTGTTTTTTTTTCAAGTCAGAATCCTTGAAAAGGTATCTATGCACACTGAGATTGTGTACTGTGTTTACCATAGAGGTGCACTTTCTTTTCCTCCCACTAATTGGGCCCAATCCCTCTCCATATTGTGCTTCATCGGTTAATTTGTTCACGTTTGGAGCTTGGCAGCGATCAATGAAGTTCGCTTCACTGTATCTCGCTGTTCGATGATAATGATGATATACAATGATATCGGATAGTGGGAAACGGCCAATAAGAGGGCAACCACATAACACAGGAAACGGGGCAAGGCAAGCGGTGGTGGTGGGACTCGTACACGCGTTCAACGGGGCGATAAGTTAGTTGACTGCGTATAATTACATTGCAAGGCAGATTTCTCCTGTACGCTGGAGTAGTAAGTGGCAACGAGAAGGTAATGGAGCAAACCGTGGGAGTAAAACTAAGTCGGAAGTTTTAACCTCGAATATAGGTAGAACATTTCCGCGTTTTTAACAGATTGATTGATTGTTTACAAGTTGCGACTCAGCTAAGCGCATGCAAGTGGTTTCCAGATGATCATCGAAATAGTTCAGGGCAAGCATGTACGAATGCAACAAACATTCACAAAATAACTGAGGGGATTTAGCGTCTTGGTAAACATTTCAGTTTCAGTTTTTACAACCACTAAGCAAGCACTTTCGTGCGCCGGTTTTGGTTGCCCATCTGGATAAAACAGCGAAATGTAGATTGGAATGTCGAAGCGAATTCAAGCGGAAGGAAGGGAATTCATATAGAGTGGTGTTACGAGAATAACGAGTGGATGCACGAGCGCCACTGTTTGCGACACCCGGCCCTATCCATCGGCGACCATCATCCCAAGGTCCCCAGCCTGGTTAGGGTTTTCATACCCTCATGCCAGGTCTTAGTTTGATCACCCTTCATCTTTTTCCAATCGCTACCAGCCTTGGCAAAAATCGTTCGCCGCGACAACCTATCTGAAAACATACGTAACACTTGTCCCAACCAGCGTAATCTACGGAGGTCGATCACTTGCTCTAGTGGACGACCACGACTGCCTAAAACTCTACGCCTAACCTCAGCATTGCTACTCCCGTTACCCCACCAGACACGTGNTCGAACACCGACAATCCATTTTTATCCTGTTCCCTTAGTGGCCAAGTCTCTGCACCGTAGAGCAGGACTGGCCGAACTGCTGCAGCATACACTCGACCCTTCACCGACAGCGGGATGTCGAGTCGGTGCCACAAATGTCTCAAGTTGGCAAACGCCAATCGAGCCCTTTGTATGCACGCCGACACTTCATCTGTGATGCGTCCGCCGGGTGAGATATAGCTATCCAGATAGCAAATTTTTTCCACTTCCTCTACTAC